TTCCATTTACAATTTCACTCTCCAGGCTCTTGACAAGAGTGGCCAGCCTTTCTCCGCTAAAGAAATAATTACCGCTCAAATGCCAGCATGTGGTAAGTTACAATTAACACTAATGTGCACCGCTTCACGCTCGAGGCAGTCTTCTCTGGCTGCGACGTGACCCCATTAGTCTGCACTACGCTTCCCATTACTACTACTCCCCCTCTCCACTTAACCACATCGATATGCGCTGACGTCTAATTCCTCAGAGTACTGGCGATATCTTTTGGCATATTTGCCAACGAACTGAGCGGTTACAACCGATACGATGCGTGCATTTTCGTGGAATTCAAGATGTCTGCCAGTGTTTTAAAATTTGACATTCTATTTATCCTTACGATGCTTTTTGGTTCTATTTATAACCTGCTAGACTAACGCAGTGGTATGCAAAAATGTATGTGCTACTAGTTCGCGTCGACCAAGTTCTGAACAAGCTATCTTGATCGAGAATAGGTGTGCAAATATAAACTTTCAGGCGTTCTTGCTTATTACGTACACGAGGCTTATAGATCGCTTCTATTCACGAAGCTGTTGGGGTGTGCATGAGTTGAGACGATTTATTTGCCTTTTGTTTCAGCCATGCCGGTGCCAAGAAATCTGAATGTTTCGATTGTGGATTCCAAAGACATGCGCGTCACTTGGTTACCTCCAAGTGATGCAAGTCAATGCGGAAACCAGTACGAGGTCATCGTCCGCAATGCAACTTATCAGGACAAGATAATGGTGACGAAGACGGAATATATACTACCCAATATTAATCCATCTTCCAAGTACATTATCACTATACACGCTACGGACAAGGATAACAAACCCTTCGCCGCTTCAGCCTCCATTACCGTAAAAATGGCAATCAGCGGTAATTTGCTTTTTTAACCTATGCTATATTCCATCCTTTTTCTAATGTGTTTACGCTGCAATCTGATTTGGCTAAGAGGTGACATGTGTACGCTGGAGGTCTTAGGCGGACCTGCTGCTGCATGTGCTCCTGCAGCAACCTAGTTCAAAAATCTTGCTTCCGAAACGGTCTCTGCACGCAAACGCCTCGTGGAGTGTCATTTAGGTGCAAGAGTTGACCACTGTACTGCGAGTTTATGCACGCATCTTTTCAACAGGTAAACGTACTCGAGATATTGACAATATTGCGCTGATTCATAGGTTTAGTAAAACAGCAACGGTTATGTAAGAGGTATGATCGCTTGTGCGAACAGGCCGTGGGGTGGGGGCGGGTGATCTATAAAGTGTCAGTCAGTCCAATCAATTGCGCAGAATTGGAGCACCTACTAAACTGGCAAACAGTACGCAGGTAATCCCTAAGACAATTTTGCGCCTGGATGCTATTTTTTGGCGCAACCTACAAAAACGTGAGATTCCAGGATAAATGGCGAGCTGTAGATGGCTTAACTAAGGTCACACCTATGAGAGTGAACAGTGCGAATAACAAATAATTGCCTGCTTCTACTTAAGAAGCTATTAGGATATGATCGATTTCACACGATTTATTAATCTTTTGTTTCAGAGATGCCGGTGCCAAGAAACCTGACTGCCTCAATTGTGGATGTGAAAAACATTCGCGTCACTTGGTTGCCTCCACTTGATACAGGTAAATGTGGGGACAAGTATCTGGTTATCGTCCGCAATGCAACCTATCAGAACAAGGCAATGGTGACGCAGCTGGAATACACACTAACCAACGCGAATCCATCTTCCGTTTACACTATCACTATACATGCCACTGACAAGAAGGACAGACCTTATCCCGCTTCAGCATCCATTTCCGTACAAATTAAAATCGCCGGTAATTTACAAATTCTTCTCATGCTGTAATCTATCTTTGCTAATGAGCGAATATTTTCACGATCCAGTCAGGTGTAGTTGGCTAGGCGGTGGCTCAATTATCCTACCACTTGTGCTACTCCCAGAGACAGCAGTACATATGTAACAAATGCAGTGCGTATATACGCCATGATTAGCGATGCTGACATACCCATTGAGGCAAGAAGGTGGATATGTTGTTGCTTGTGATGTCGGCAACAGGAAGCGTTCCAGATTAAGAACGCAGCAAAGATTGGACAAGCTGGTACTGTGAAGAGAGCTTCACGGCGTGTGCTTTAAGAAGGTGCTACCTGCATTTTCCTCCGTCTTTGTGTCCGTTATGAGGTCTTATTTGAATCCGTGGCCTGTCCTCCGTCACCTGCCTGCAATCAGTGAAATTACGCGCATAGAGTTCTCGTTAGGCTGCTGGCAAGACTTGTGCGGTTCCAGCAGCGAGCTCCCAATCTGACATCAAAAAGGACGACAAGAGAAACTTTAACAATCATGGCTATGTTAAAAGAAAAAAACAATATCGCCTGCCTAGTGTTTAATGCAAATCCTGCAGAGGACTACTAGCACTGACAGGTAAGTCAGCATCAAAGAAAACTTTTGGAACAACTGATGGTGTCAGTTGGAATTTCATTATCACCCACAGGAAGCAGTAGCTGTGTACCTAATCCATCCCAAAATTGTTGTCTGCGTCTCGTTGATCAATCGAAGAGGCCAGCTGTTGGTTTGGAAGTGTGAAGGTCTCAATAAGCACATTGAGAAATTTCATCGTGTAGGTCTTGGCATTCCCACAGTAAAATTTACCGGTAAATTTATATTATCGACTATGCCGTCATACATCTTTACTAACGCGTTTTCACTCTCAAGTTAATGGTAGCTAACAGGCAGATAGCAATGTGCATTAAAAGGAATACGAGCTTATTTTTGCAATGTCTTGTTAGATTTAGCAAATTAATCTTTACTATTTTGCCTACAGTTGTACCAACTGTTGGAGATTTGACTGCCTCGCAAGTGAACGATACCACCATTATTGTGACCTGGACCAAACCGGTTCCTGTGGAGAAATTCAAAGACGAATACCACATTACCATCTACGGTGAAGGCACTAAGGAGACCTATACAACGAAGGAGACCTGGATCATCGCTAGCGGTTGGGATATAACTTCCATTTACAACATTACCGTGCAAGGCGTATGGGCAAATGGCACACTTGTTCCTGATGTCGCAACCACTTACCCGGAAAAGCCTTCCCTCGGTAGTTTTTAATTGATCTGCACCTACCTTTATTTGTCTTTCATTAATTTTATTCTAAACTGCACGAATGTCACTCTCCTACTTCCTTATTTAAAAAATCGTGCCTGATCAAAAACCCATTTTATTATCTCGGCAAATGTGTACTGACTGGATCCCGGGCATCACTGTTCGTTAATTGTATCGACAGTAGCCGATATTCAGTGCCATCATTGGGGCCGGCTAGATCAGGCATGATCAAAGCCGTAAAAAGTACAAGTTCAATATTCCGTGCGACCTTTTCTGACTCCGCTCGTTTTCACATTCTCGTGCTGTAGATGCCCGGTGAAGAAGGAGTGGTTGAAGTCCAAGTCTGACTCACAGTAATCTGCTTACCGTACTGACTTCGTTTGTGTCCATTTTGGTTCACTCACTCGATCACTCCTCATCGTCGAAATTGCACCAATTTCGTTTGTAGACTGTAGATTGATAAGATAAATGGGTCATGATGTGTTAACTTAACATCTAAATAGGCCGTCTGCTGATGTTTGAAGTGTGATGGTTTATTTTCCTCTTCCCTTCAGGTGTGCCGGTAGTACCAAGAGGTTTCACCGCCGCAATTCTGAATTGCACAACTATCCGTCTGACCTGGAAGATACCAAGTAATACCAAGGGCTGGGAAGGAAAGTACCTGCTGACTGTTACCAGTAGCACATCTACCAAGAACTACACTTTGGAGAGGACAGAGGAAACACTATTCAACCTGCAGCTATCTTCCGTTTACAATTTCACTTTACAAGCTCTTAGTGGTTGCTGCAAGCCCTTCCCCGCTGCAGCATTCATTACCGCTAAGACGTCAGCCTGTGGTAATTTGTCATTAACACGTATTCACTATTTCATGAGAATTGCATGTAAAGCAATGCTAGGACTTTAAAAATCATAGAAATTATTCACCAAGATGGTTAGTAAGATGTTAAATAACAACAGCCTCCAGACGCTATTTGAACGATGACGGTTTATTTACCTTATTTTCTGCAGATATACCGGTGCCAAGAGACTTGATTGCTTCGCCTGTGAATTCCACAAGTATTCGTATCACTTGGAAGGCCTCAGAGGATACAAGTGACACCGGAGACCAGTATATGGTCACTGTCCGCAATGCAACCTATGAGACCCAGGATTTGGTGAAGAATACGCAGTACGTAATAAGCAACCTGAATCCATCTTCCGTCTACAATTTCACCGTCCGCGCTACTGACAAGAAGGGCAGGCCTTTCTCTGCCTCAGCATCGATTACCGTAAAAATTTCAGTTCAGGGTAAGTTGCAGCTATCATCCATGCGGTTTTTTCTTGTTTTTTTATACTCAACTAACAAAAAAGGTAACAGAAAAAGGTAACAAAAAAGGGAACAGCCGCATATTAATGCTCGAAATAACCAACTTCTAATAAGGAGATCAGATTGTATTTCTGAGCATGATCAGGCCAAATCTCTTTCAAAAACCTTGCTTACGTTAATCATTTTTGGTCTAGTATAACCTCCTAGACTATAGTGAACACAGCAGAGCTGCATGTTCTACTGATGACCTTTGACCCTGTCCTGACCTCTGCACTGTGATATAGAAGAAGTCTGGATGCACACGTTTCCTGGATTGCTATTAATGTTGGCAATTTCGTACTCCAAGATGCGGTAATGCACAAACACATCCGCAACATATACTTATGCCTGGAACCTTGACCATTAGGCTTTGGCTTAAAGTTCTGCATTTAGTAATCCGCTAATAAATCTTTAAAAAATGATGATCTACAGGAAAGGATCGTTTGATTTCTCGTTAAATGTCAGTATTTTTAATAACACGACACTCAATTGCGCAGAAATTGAGCAGTTGCTGATCCTGCAAATAATCCACGTTTAAGTTCTCACGCTAACTTGCGCGTGGATGGAGTGTTTTAGTGGTGAGAATACAGAAACATTTCGCAGAATCATATTGACTGACCAGCATCAGAGATGCCAACTTAAAGAGCTGATTTGTAAGTGGGCATTGTTCTTATGAGAAATAATGGCGGACTTGTGTTCCCGAACGTCATATGGTATGTCATCGAATTCATCCGATCATATATGCATATATTTCCCTTCTTCTTTTGTCTGCAGAAGAGCCGGTGCCAAGAAACTTGACTGCCTCCATTGTGAGTCCCACGAGCATCCGTGTGACCTGGTTGCCTCCAGCTGATACAAGTAAATGTGGGGACCAGTATCTGGTCATCATTAGCAATGCAACCTATCGGACCCAGGTTACGGTGACGACGACGGACTACATACTA